CTCTCTTCTGGATTCTTTCACGTCCATCTCTCTTCATTCTCGTTTCCCCTTTTCTTTCGTTTATCCTGACCACCATGAAGCGTGAGCTGCTTGCTCGTCTCAAAGTCGATCGCGCGTTGAACGATGTTGTATGACTATCGCGTACTCTCCAAGCACGCGGAGAGACTGCATTTAAATCTTCCTGACGCGATTGTGATCGTTAGTGAGCGATCGCTAAGGAAAACTTTTTGCGGAAATTACGATAAACGCGGTTTTGTCCGGTAGCCAGTGGCGTGTAACACGAGAGAAGAAGAAAGAAATCGTATCCATATTCGACTGAGAGAATGCGAATGGCTGTTCTTTTTTTTCATTTTTCGTTCCTCTGAATCATGACACTCGCGTGTCATACGATTTCCAGGAATCGCCATACAGTGCGTGTGCATCGCCTGCTGCGATGAACGTCATGTGAAGGCTAATGCGGTGATATGTATTACGGAACGATCGTTCGTTACGGATCGGTCAATCCGTCGATTGTACGAGCGGACAATAGGTAAAGTCGATCGGAGTCAGACGTCGACGGAATACGCCGGAATACGCCGGCTGGCGCGTTCGACTTCACTTAATGAATCTCATAAAACAGGGCCGGTATATTGATATTAAACGATCGGTGAAAAAGAAGGTGCAAATAAGGCACGAGAATACGGCACCACGGTTCTCTCGGTACGCACGCACGCGGCACTCGGCGGCTCTCGTCATCCAAGGATGTCGCCCCGTACAAGAAGAGAAACGGCCGCAGTACATCTCGCGCAATGATACAAACAGCAATCGTTCCGAACTTATTATCGCCGGTAAGAAACTCATAAATGCTTATGACTTGCTTGCCGGTTTTTGCCGTGGCGCTTATACGATCCAGTTAAAGCGACGTTTCGCCGGATTGACAACCAGCTGGAGATAGACGGAAAAGCCGGAGGAGGAGGTTCGTTGCATCTCTATGCAGTACGCTCGCGAAAAAGCGAGAGAAAGGGAGAACGAGAGAGAAGGAACGATGATAGATAAGGGGAGAAAGGGAGGACAAGAGTACAAAGAAGAGGTGGAGGAGCCTGGGGAGTCTCTTCAACGTCATTTGTAATACCGGATGGCCTAATGATGCGACTGGTCGTGACAGGACAAGAATAAGAGTGGAAACGTGCGAGAGCGCGCGCGGTGGAGGCTCACGTTCTCTAGGTTCCCTGTACCAAGGTATACGAAAGGGGATATATAGAGCAAACGGGGAGGGGAGGGGGAGCAACACGGAGAGAAGAGAGGAGACGATCGTATATAATACATCCACGTGTCTCGGTCACCCGGTTGTTAAGGACGCGCGGAAAGCCTCAGGGACGTATTCCGCTCGTCTCGCGATGCGCGACGGCGATTTGCTTCATCGTGGTTGTAGATCACGATCAAGGGGGGGGGGGGGATCTATCTATCTATCTGCCGTGTGTACCACCACCACAACCATCGTAATATATACGAGCGTGACTTTTTTGCGAGCGGCGAGCGGGGAAAAGTACACGCGCGCGTTGAAATTAATCTACCACCGGCCGCGTCGCCGTGACGAGGGGCCCACGATAATTTACTCGCAAAGGGGGCGATTGTGTGTGCGCGCGCTCATTGCGTGCCTCGAATCTGGCGACACGCGTGCAACCGGCAAAAAGTTGATGATCCGCGGAACCGAGTTTCGACAGTCATTCGACCGCGTGGTTTTTCGTCGATCCCAATGTACAGTTAATACAGAGGTTGGCCCCATCATTGCCGAAATGGAATTTTGATGGCAAATTCCTTGATGAATGTGAAGCTGAGTTTTAATTATATAGATGAATAGTTAGATTTATTTGTTCTGCGATTAATTAGTCTGTAAAGATACTCTGTGTATATGTAAAATTAAAGAAAGATATTTTCGACATTTGTTGTATAGAAAGATTTTTAAGTGTATCGAAATATAAAAAGAATACACAATCCTTGTGTATATATATATGCAATTTAATTCATCGGTTACGTTAAAAATTGATTTATTGGACTTCAAGTAAGCTTTGCTTTTCTGATGAAAAGATGAATGGCAAATTCAAGCCACAATTAATTTTAAATATTTAAGAAATAGCGATGTTCAGCACCGCTTTAACGCCAAATTATTAAAACATAATCATTAAAAATAAATAGTTAAAAAATTTAAAAATTAAATATTAGGTATAGGTAGAATATAGAAAAAAAAATATATATGTCGTGATTTGTCATATTTAATGAAGATAATTATGTAAGTAACGTCTCTTTTTAAACATTTTGACGCATTCGGAGGATGGATATTTCGCATATAGTTGTCAGAATCGAAAACGTAGATGTACGTGTGTGTGTGTGTATCGTCAAGTGTTGCGACGTAACACTCGATATACTCGAAGCGAGATCGACGTTGCATGCGATTCCCCCGCAAATCATGACAGTCTTCGACGCGACGGACGCGCTTTTCTTCCCCTCACAGTACTATAGTGCACAACGATGCACTTTGAAGCACGGCGTAGCTAATGATGCAGAACGTGCAGCAGTGTTTTCTTGCTTGGCCAACCAAGTAGCGGGACTTGAAAAAATCGACAACCCACCGTAAGTTACGTCTGTATGATCGTCATCCCCACGTTAAGAAGTCCAGTAGACGCGCCATAAATTATACACAGAATGATTTAAACGAAACTTCAATCAGTTAACTTTATTTAACGCAACAAGTGTCGCAGGATTATTTCTTCTTACGAATCGCGCTGATTTATTCATATTGTAATTTAATATTTGGAAGCGACTTGTGAAGAATTCATGGGCGAGAAAAAGAGAAAAGATGAACAATCTTTTGTTCATCTTTTCTCTCATTAAAATTAGAATTGTGTGTGAGACGGAAATATTTAGATATTTAACTGAAAAATATTATAATTGATCAAAGTAAAATAAATTAGTAAAATAATTTTTAAACTGCTATCGAAAAAAATTAGCTTATTAGGTTACCTGCAATTCACACGCTGTTAATATTTATAAGCTGTCAAATTAAATCCCGTCTTGAGTAATAATATTTATCGTATTATTTGATTTGACAATACATAATTCGGCCCATTCTGTCTAACGTGAAAAAAAAATTATTAAGATAAGCGGTTTAAAATTTTTCTCATGTTCTTTTTACATATATCACTTAGATCTACGAACAAAATTTTACCGTCTATAACTATGGCACGGTATTTACTTCTGTTCTGTTCTGGTCGATCAGTTTTGCTGCGGCATAGGATCATCGAGATCGAGCGATTGGAGTCTCGCAATACGATATCGATCGTGACTCGAACTTTCTTTTGTTCGATCAACAACCACGACGCGACGCGTCGAAATAATCGGCAGAATTGGGCCGACAATAAAATTGCACGGTGCTAAACGCATGCGCTATGATTATCGAGATTAATCAGCAACACACTTTGATTTATCTCAAACTATAATCGTCGATCGTGTACTTTTCACACACGCCGTGAACGCGTGTTGATTACAATACGTGAGCCTTTACGGAACGTTTCTTAAAAATTTCTAAACTCTTTTAAACTTTTACGGATAAAACTATTGTACGCGTAGAAGAGGTTCCCATGCGCCTATACAAAAGGCTGCTTAAGCAAGGCTGCGCCTATATAAGGCTGCTTATGCATTTATATAAAGCAGCTTGTACGACTGCAAAATAACTGAGCACTTTTATAATAACACAAAATACTTGTTGCGTATATTTTCACAAGATAGAATGCTTGCAAAGAGAAATTAAGAGATTTAAAAAAATTTTCAAAGATTTCCTATGTGTGTGTAGAGGGTTCTTGATACATGTCAATATAGAAAACTTTTACTTTTTTCAAATTAATAGAAATGTTATCAAAGCGTTTTTTTTTTATATTATCTGATGATATCTATGTCGTATATGAAATCCATCCAAAAAAATATATCTTTGAAGATAAAAATAATTGGAGCCAAAACAATATCAAACATTGCCATTAAATGTGTTTATGCAATCTTCTCAGGCGAAAAATTAGTTCTTCAAGGTGAAGAAAATTAATGAAACGCACAGAAAACGTTTATCTTTAAATTACCATAATTATGAGAGGCACGCAAAATGCTATGATGCACAGCGTTATAAGTTCTTTACAAGTATCGTTCTATTTATATAAATCATGCAGAAATAATATACGAAATAAAGTGAAAAAAAAAACAAGTCTCTTCAAAGTTTTATTTTATATCTTTTTAATGTTTAATTATCCGCTGCATCTATTACAATTATGCTAATATATCATTATTAATTGCTATCCTCGCTTCACAAAGCAAATAGTTAACAATTTAATTTGTATATTAATTTGTTATACAATATCAATTTTCAACTAATTTATCGTCAAAGCCGCAGAAACTAATCTCAATACCGCATAACAAGCGCGAAGGAGAGAGATATTGATAGAAGCGTACAGAAGCGACAAAACGGAAATGTAAAACGACGAGAAGGACTAAGAAGATACGAAGAGAGAGGAGTATGTGAAACTCGAAGCGATTCACAAGGTTGCGACAAGGTAAATTCAACTAACGTTGTCAGAACGTACGAGAAGCACAACCGACCGACCGACCGACCGACCAGCCGGTGAGCGGGATAAAGCTAAGCTAAGAGGCAAGTCAAAGCAAGTCGAGAGGAGTTAGGTCGAGGCGAGGCAGGAGGTAAAGGCGAGTAGGGACAGGGTAAAGCAAGGCGCATTGGCGAGGCATGCTAAGGCAACGGGTCCAAAGTCGTACCACCGATGCGAGGCCCCGGTGGCGCGTTAACCTCCCGCTCGAACGCAGTACGCTCTCGACTCTCGCGCAGGCCAGGTTGCACCAATCTCGTCGGTCGATCCGCCGACCACGTGCTGCATCTCACTGACAAGCGAGAAACCGCGAGAGAAAAATATTCGATATTCGCACACGTGACTTTCGCGCACCAACTGCGACAATTTTGGCCAAGAGAGAAAAAGGACGATAAAAGAGTTTTTTCTCAAGGAAGAAAAAAATCTCTCACGGCGGATCCTGCTAACAGAAATCCTATCGTGAAACGCATTCGATCGATCGCTCTCGTATAATTAGCGAAACCAGTGACAATAGATTACGTCAGTGTGGATCGAGATAGAATAATAAATATCTAATTTGTCCAATTTTTTCAAGATCGATCTCTTTCTCTCAATGTGTTTTACACTACGGGAAATCAATTTTCAAGTGTGCGAAAATGAGATAATCCGTAGGAAGTCACGGTGCTCGCGACCGGACAGCACCATTTAAAACGGACGTCGTGAAATTAATTCGACGAGAGATTCCAATCGCGCTCTTGGATTTGGCTGCGAGCGGTTTACACCGGGGCCGGAGGTATCGCACCGTCACGCCAACCGGACGGTTAATTTAATTTCGAGGTGCGTTTCTCACGCCTGCGAAATCAGTTTTGACCGCGCGCGGAACGCGACGATTAAATGGAGACGGGTGCCCTCCCCCCCGTCATTCCTAACCGTTCCACTTTCGGTGGCCGTGCGTGAAATCGTGCCGAGAAGCGAAAACGAATTCGAAATGGTCACGCCGGTGTGCGGCGCATGTGAGCCTCTCCTTTTACCACTGCAAAAATATAATCGCGGTGCGATAACCTGCGGGGTCTTCAAAAGTTTTCGCGCTTCGATGAATCGCGGCGAAAAACAGGTGGATCGGCCAGAAAAACCGCCCGGCGTTCGAAGATCGATCGAGCAAAACGAATCGGAATAATTGAATTATCGGAAGCCCGAAGAGACAGAGAGGACGCGGACCCCGCGGGACGACCATACATGGTTGTCGTCTGCCTACGAAGCCGAGAGGAAGAAGCGGGATCGCGTTGTCGCGATCGCGTGGGAGGCATTTTTTCCGCTAAACGAGGCGGAGAGACAAATTCGTGCGCTCTCTCCGGAACCTACAGTCGCGAACAGAGCGCAGACTGTTTAAAGCCGCGGATCTTACGAGTACACTCGTTATGAGACGAACGGGTCTTCCAAGAACGACATGATCGGCGCCGCCGCGATCTCTTTCTTCGACGCGTCGCGAGAACGCGTGCCGAGACGAAGACGACCGACAGATCGAATAAGATCACCGCAGAGACGAGAGGAACCTGATTCTGGAGCAAGTTTGTGCCGCCAAGTAGCCAGCAATTCGAATAATTAGCTACAACTAGTTCGTTAGGATCGTGGCTAAATCTCCACGCGAATCGAATGGCCGCGAGCAAACGAGATAGGAAACTTGCCTTCGAAAGGCTATGAGACAGAGAGAAAAAGAGAGAATTTTACAGAGGATAAAACGAAGCAAATGAAATGGAAACGGATGGACAGATCGCGAATCCACTGCTGAGAAAAAGCGTAAAAGAACGGTCACATCGCGCAGAAATTGTATACGGAATGAAGTAAATATTAAGATTGCACAGTGTTGATCCGTATAGCATTTACATTCGAGATGCAATTGTGGCTAAAGTGCATTATCGAAACAAGCCCCGTTTGCAGAGGACCCTCGCGAAATAAACCGCGAGCGTTTTATTTCGTCGCGATTACGCTTGTGACAAATGCGCACGACGAATGAAGATTTCCGCTACGTATAAAAATAATAATAGGGAAGAAAGAAGAAAGAGAGAGAGCAAGAGAGAGAGAGAGAGAGAGAGGGGGGAGAAGGAAAAGGAGAACATGCCGGTCGCGGGAACGAGAAAATTATGCAGAGTGGGACTCGCCGCGATCTTGGTCACCGCGCTGTGCATCCTGACTCTGTTAGACTCACCGCCAGCACGACTCCCGGATCTACCGACCGATCCTCCTCCCACGCCTGGTAAGCAATTTCCTCCCCTCCTCCTCTTCCTTTCCCTGGCATCTCCGCGGAGGGCGCGAGTGCCAGGACCCTTGCCCTTTTGTTATCGGCGAACGGTCCGCCACCGCAACCTGAAGACGGCGGTAACACCGCGCATCGTCATCCTAGCGGGATTTTTTGCTGCCGCGCGAATCGGTCGTGAGCATAGATAAAATCGGGAGACAAATCGGTCTCGTTTCGCACGACGTGACGTCTCGCGAACCTAATTAACCCCTTGAACTCGAGTGATTTCTCGCTTAGAGGAATCATCCGTGTCCCCATTATTCTAATAATACCTAGGCTTGTAGGCATTCCGTTATTCGTGTGTTCGATAACTTTCAACAACTGATGCTATTCATTATCGCATTAAATTTTATTTTGAATTGTTTAAAACGAAACATATATATTTTATTCTTGAAACTACAATTTTTGGAATCTTAGCAATAGACGGTGTAGCGTAAAATTGAAATGAAAAAACAATATATTTGTCTTACTATTAAAGACTCTTACAAAAGATAGCGGAATTTAATTTGATGTATTAAATTCTCATACAGAGTTTTTAAAGAAATTGAAGTATTTGTACAAATTATGAATAAAAATATAAGTTTGTTATTTTAAAATCAATTTTATAATAGAATCACAATCATTTCGAGATTCTATGCATTTTAACTTTAACCAGGAAATTGCAAGTTTAAACAATAATATTCATAAGATATATTGCCCCAAGAATAAACTTAAAAGCAATTTATAATATGGGATTTCATAGCTTGGCAAAAACTATAATTATTACAAATTATGTTACATAACAAAGAGTAAAAGCGAGCAATTTGTATTTTACACACACAATTGCGACGTACGGAAATACAAGAGGTGAATCTAAATAAAGTAACAGTGATAGCTAACGTACTCGCGCGACCACTTTGTTAGCGCATAAACCCCGAAGTACTATCTCAACACATATAAAGAGATTCGCACGCAATCGACTCGTGCGAAGTATCTGCGAGTGATGATTTGTTACTTTATACGTGCTATTTCCTAGTCGCGCAAAGTTTCTCAGCATTAAAATGCTATCCGGCCGAGCCGAGAAGGAAGAGCTCCTGCTCATTGCTTTTTTAAACGCACGTTCATCACGCATAATTGTACGGACACTGCGCTTTCTCTTGTGCTAACAAAGTGCATGACTACGTTTAGAGGGCCGATACCAATCAACCCACGCTACGCATCGCAGAAATACACAACCGAGTTCCGCACACAGTATACGCTCCCTCCCCACGAAAGAAGATAAAAAGATACAAAGATAACGCATTGGATGCGTGCGTGCGTACGCGCGCGCAAAAGAAACGCGCTACGGTTATAAATAAATATCGCGAAGCTTTGGCACACACACACACACACACATATAAAGCTCGCCAAAGAACGTAAATCTCAGAGCTGTTATTTAGTAGTAGCGACTTCATTAGTCGACATAATTTATGACGCGATTCATCCAATGACCGCCCGTCGACTCGCGCGCTTTCGCGTATTTCACCTTCGCCTCCACCATGCAAACATTTCGCGAGGAATTATGACAGCTGATTGTACGGCAGACCGAGAGTGCATACTATATCCGTGCGCCCGACAGGCACGACAGGCTTTTGAAATTTGTCTATGTTGCACGAAGATCGCCTTTCACGTTATCAAAGGGACGAGGATCAAGGAGTCATATTTAACGCTAAATATAAATCATGAATACGGATTCATCATCGCATTTTTTATGACGTAAAAATAAAGTTTAGCTAATTACGCGGATAATAACGATGCAGAGTTGATAATTGGCGAGTTTTATGAAATGTTTCCTTCGACAGGTTGAAGAATTTCTTTCGTCGAGAGCACACATAATTTCCGATTAATTACCGATAGATGTTTGAAAATCGGAACGATTTATTTGCCGTGTGTTGACTTATCTACCTCTACGTAGCCGGCTAGATCGACTCTCCGTCCTGACAGTGCGATTTCCATGAGAACGCCGCCGTGCATTAGCGTATATCTAGCGTGGTACGAATGCTTCTCTCCTTCTCTCTTTCTTTCTTCCTCTCTCTCTCTCTCTCTCTTAAACGTGGAGCCGCGTTTACCTTCTCGTAAAACTCGCGAAGTGTGGCCGCGACGGACGTACGGACGGACGAGGGGAGGACTGCGGGTAAAGGGCACGGAGTCACGAAGAATACCCGCGGCACGCAAACACGTAATACCACCATCGGCGGCCTCATCGGGTCAAACGCCGACTTTTAACGACACACCATGACGGATCATCATCTATCCCGCGGAGGCGAACCCGCGATGGATCAGCGGGATCGACCGGTCTCGTTATCTACCTACGCTCGCTACGTCGAGAGATCGTCGAGAAAATAGTTCCGGGCGTTCGTCGATAACGTTCACGATCCATATATGTCGAAGGCGAGTAATTGCAAGCGAGACGAGTCACGAAACGTATATAGTGCCATAAATTTACCCGAGGACGCCGGACACGATACGCGACGTTTTTCCTCTTTCCTTTTTTTTTTCCTTGTCTCGTCGCCGTCGCCGTCGCGGTTGTCTCGCAGAAATAATTATAAACGAGACATAACGAGAGTCCTTAAAGCTATCAACGACATAGATTTATTCGCGCCGCCGTAGGGCGTCTGGCGGACATCCCCCTCTCTGTCATAATTCATAAATATATTCATTTGATGCATTAATGCACGGAAAAGAGAATGGAAATCTCGCTTCGCGTCCGCTTTGGCTCGTGACTCGGATCTCCGTGACTGCACGGGGAACGAGTTTCTCCGCGGAATACAGGATATAGCCGGCGTATCAACATTAGGGAGTCTAATTAGCGGTCATGTCGATTGAGATTCCGCCCAACTAATTTTTTTCCCCTCCCTTTCTACCCCCATGCTCTTTGAATATTATTAGAGAGAGCGCTGCGTTATATATATATGGAAATCGCAATTACAACAACCACATACGGCACTGATAAGCGAGAGAGCGCGATGCTGAGACAAATATTTTTAGATGCAAGCATAGCAAACTTTAAACGAATGTAAACGTATTCATAGCACAGCGCGTCCATCTCTAATGCATGACGCACGTCATTTCCGTCCGGTCATATAGTTCCAATGTCTTGTCTCGTGTTGATTTACAGTCTTCCGCAGTAGATAAGATCGATCAGCTTAGACAATAAATTGATATCGAATAAAACAAACACACAGTTGCGGCATTACACTCGCAAAAATCATAAAATGATATATTAGCATGCATAATGGGCCTCCGGTGGCTCAGTGTGTAGCGCGCCTGACTCACATCCCGGAGATCTCGGGTTCGATTCCCGACTCAACCCTGGCCTGCGCTTTCCCATTTTTCCTTTCCTACCACCTCCCAACAAAAATTCCTTCCTTCTCTCTCTTCTCTTCTTCCAGTATATACGCATAAAAACTGAATTTACACTCTAATATAACCTGTTGTTGGCCCGAATACATGACCCATCCCAGATCATTACGGCCATTTAAATATTAAAGAATACAAATACAATAGCATGCATAATGCGAGCAATACAGTCTAATAGAGTAAAAGTTTTAAGCTGCAGACAGAGTAAACTGCATAGCGTAGATCAGTGATAGCGCTCTTACTCTTACAAGAAAACACGGTCGACCGAAACTAGTCAAGTCGAACGAAACTTTGTAAATATGAGAGTGGCTCAAGTCTAATGCATGAATATGCATTATATTCGCTTTTGAAATTTGTATAGTTAAATTTGTATAAAGAACGCCATGCGCCAAAATGCCAAAAAGTGAGCAAAAGTTATTTTTAATAAGTTGTGAATGTTAATAACATTTTTTAAAATAATGCTGTTCCAAGCGAGAAAGATTTCATGACACATTTGGAACTCGTCCGGTAAAGCACATTCTACCCATTTTGATATGTACGTTCTGTCATGCTATATACAGGGTGTTTACGAAATATTTGGACAAACTTTTAGGGCGTATTCCTCACGTCAAAATACAGAAAAAAGTTTATATAAATTCATAGCCAAATATGAGTGGTTGCGAAGTTATAAAACAAAGTTTATGTTAACGTTATTATGTGGCATAAGAATTATTGAAACGAAACCATTATTTTATAAATCAAGATCGTTGATAAGACACGAAGAGACGCCTCGCCAACCCATTATTAATGCTTGTGAGATTATATGGAATCATCTGTGAACCTTTGAAATGGTTCGACAATCCTTACTTCGTCGTGTCAACGCCTGTCTTCAAATGACGGCCGTTTTAAGCATTTGTTATAATTTAAATATTTACTTATTATTTAATAATAACGTTAACACAAACTTTGTTTTACTATAACTTCGCACTCACATTTGATTATGAGTTTATATAAACGTTTTTCTTTAGTTTGACGTGAGGAATACGCCCTCGAAGTTTGTCCAAGTACAATATTTCGTAAACATCCTGTATAATATATGTACATATAAAATTGTGCAAAATTTCGAAAGTTTTCTGTCAATAGCAAAAATATGTTTAAATATCCGATACCGTTTTTGCAATTCTATTTGAGTTTAAATTCTATTCGTTTTTCACGCTAAATTCACTGCAAATTTTTATTCGAGACATTTTCTTTATTAAAGTCTTGTTAGTATCAATTAAAAAATAGAATGTTTTTCTCGAATGTGCGATTTATATAACGTTATGCTTTCAAAGAGCAGTTAGACATGAATAAAACGCACTGCATTATCAGTATCTCGAGTCATTTTACATAATACAAAACTTTATCTAAATTAATTCATATTTATGGAATCCAGATCCGTGACGTTTCTTTGCTAGTTAATAGAATTAGAATTAATTTCTTTTTACAAAACTAACAACAGTGCATTTTTCGAAAAACATACACACTACTTGAAAAATATTCTATTTCGATGAAAAAATAGTGAAAGAAAAATATTAATTATGTTTCGATACTTTGTTATTACATATAAGCAATAGATTACACATATTTCAATATTCAAAATATGTATATGCATTTGTGAGATAATATTCTTGTGCGGAATTTTGATCAATTAAAAATAGAAGTCTCCTCCCTCCCGTCTCTCTCAGTCACTTCGACGATTATATTTTCAAATATAAATACTGCTAGCAAAGGAAGAGTAGCTAATTAACGTGCAACTCTGTAATATCTAGTATGAAGTGAATAATTTACCCTCTTATTAACAAAAACATAAATTAGGGAGCTATGTTCTCCCTCGAACATCTCAATTAATTCTTTCATATCGATCGCTTTTCCCCTCCCCCTCCTTTCTCTCTCTCTCTCTCTTCTTCCCGCACTCGTTTTGATCAAACGACTTCTTAGCATCATTCTTTGCGCGTGTTTCAGGGGGTGAACCGCCGGGCACAAGAAGCATCGTCGCTTATTCGTGGGCTCGAAGATTGGCACTCGATTACAGGCCCACCAAGCAGTGCGACGGTAATGGAACGCGCGGAATGGCGTTAAACGCGTACGAGTCGCCCGGCACGAAATGGCTCGAGACAATCCCGGGACGGCTCTTCCTGTATAGCGCCCACTTGGACCTCAGAGTCGTCGGTTACCCAAGCATCAGAGTGATTGGCGTTAAACGAGGAGCTCTGCCGTCCTCCGCGCTCTTCTGCACTATATGGTGAGCTATTTTTCATGTCGCGATGCAGCCCCTTACTCGTCTATCTCTGACGAACGTTAAACACGAGGAAAGAGAATCACTCAAAAGACGCTCATAAACGCGCGCTCTAATCACGCGTCGCCTCTGCAAATCATGCTGGCAAACCGACTCGGTAAATTAGTATCAACCTTCTCAATAATACAAAGATTTAATGAGCTCGTAATTAAATTTATATTATTTAACTTGTTGATATAAGATTTTTCTATCTAATTAAAATTATACATTATAATTACTTAAAGCAATAAAAATTTTCCACAGAAATCTTTTAAGATTTTTTAATTCATGTATGTTTTTAATTAATTGAATCATAATTTAAAAATGTTTGTCAGGTCATTTTTAAAAAGAAATGTTTCTAAAACTCTGACATTTCGATGATTGAAAATATAAATGACCAACTCTTTATATTATCAATTAAGATTTAAAATTGACTCACGTCAACCCGTTCGTGTCTTCCGCTTCAATATTCAAGAAAAATTCCGAGGTTCTTATTTGTTCGTAACAAATTTATAATGAAAATTTGCAATGCGAAATATACACGAGCAGATTAATAATAAGCATGTTGAAAAAATATGTTTTCCATTCATTTCGCACTTTTAAATTCGACGAAATTAAACTTTGTTAATACGGATCGAACTATCATCTCGTTTAGAAGCAACTGAACTGTTCCGGGTAACGTTATGAGTAGCGACGAGCGATGCAAATGTTAGCAGCGGCGCGAAACGGAGCATATTCCGTTTAAAATGCATGGTTGGAAGATATAAATGTCTTCCACCAGGTGTTTTCCGCCGGGATACTCGACATTAATCAGCGCGTTCTCTTTCAATCGGAAGCGGTAGATTAAGCGTCTTGGTCTCGTTATGTTTCAGGTATCGGGAGCACGGTGAGACACGATCGTTGAGCGTGGAGGCGCTCGTCTCGACGATCTGGCTGGACGAATGGGACGGCGCGGCGGACAGTTACACTGGAATCCTCGTGAATTGTCAATTGCCGTTAGATGACTCGATACGCCGGCCGTCTCGGATCTACGTGGGTCCGAATCCCTGCTACGAGAATGCTAGTCATAGTTTAACGACCCGCTCGGAATACGGCGACGAGATCTCCGTCGAGCGAAAAGGGCGCCAAGAGTTCACCTTGTGCATCAAGGGACTGGACTTTGACGAGGATATATCGCGCAAGCTCATAGCCTTCGTCGAGTTACACCGCATTCTAGGCGCCGAACTGTTCTACTTCTATGTATTCAACGTGCATGAGAATGTGCTAAAAGTGCTGCGACTGTACGAGCGATCAAACGTGGTGCGATGGTTCGCGCTCGATCTACCGGGCGATTTGCCAAACGAGAAATCGAGCCGGAGGCGATTCTTCGGCGAGGATATCTGGACGAAAAGGCGAATGGAGCTAATCCCGTACAATCACTGCTTCTACGAGAATATTCATCGATCGGAGTTTGTGGTGCCGATCGATATCGACGAGGCGATCGTGCCGACGCGTCGGAAAACGTGGCACGAGCTGTTGCTGGACGAGCGCGCCAAGCTCGGCAGAAGCTTCAAGGATTTCGCCTCGTATTCTGTACGAAACGTCTATTTCTTCCCCGAGTTGCAAAACAAGAGCGAGACCGATCGGTCGACCGGACTCGGCGAGAAACCCCGACGCTCGGTCGAGCAGCATCCGGATTACTTAGATACCATGAGAACGGCCAATATCTCGCCCGAAGGTGATTCGGTAAAGAGCTTCGTATCTACGAGGCGTGCGCTAACGGTGCACAATCACTATGCTCTGGCCACGCTAAACCCGTCGACCAGGCGGGCTCATCATCTGGACTCGAACGACGTGCTCAAGCATCATCACCGGGCGTGCGACAGCCGACATCTCGACTGCGATCTCTTAATGGAAGACGTTAGGATCGACGAGTCCGCCCTACGCTACGCGGACGAGCTCAGGACAAGAATGAGGATCGCTTTGGCCGATCTCGACGCTTTGCCATAGACATAGACTGTAGTAATATTGTAAATAATAAAGGTCTCTTCTCGAAATCCTCGTCTCTTGTATCTCACAAATGCATGTTAACTCCTTGTGATAATCCCCGAAATATCTCTCACGCGTATGACTTAAATTGCTTTAAAATCTCGAAACGGTATTCAATTTCCTTTATATTAAGACAATGTTATGATTACAAAAGCTACTTTTTTCTTTGATACAAAAGCTACTTTTGAAAAAATAGTTTTATCATTTCTCCAAAATTATATAACAAACATCAACAATATATTTTAATTGGATAAATAAAATGAAAATGTTTAGTATTAATTTTAAAAATTATATAATAATATTTTCGTATTTATTCTAAAATACAAACATTTTAATATTACAAACATTTATTATATATTCAGGTATAAAAAGCTTTCTTTCTTTTTAAGGAAATTACTAAATTCAATCACATTTATTGTTTGTTAATAATTGCTTTAAAATTTGTAAAATATTAAACACTAACTCTCAGAAATGTACAAAATATAAATTCTTGATTATATAATTATTAGAATCTAATGTACAACAAAAATAATCTAAAAATACGTTTTTATTATTCATATCTCACCCTTTCTCAAAATAAAACAGATCTAGAAAAAAATGATAGCGACCAATGTTTTAAAACAAAAAAATAATGCAGATGTTTCTCGAATGCATGGGAAGGCACGTATTTGAAATTATTGCGGTCGGGCAAAACAAACGACAAACGTATAAAGGAATGAATACAAAACTTCACGCTTTTTAAACTTGAATAAAATTATTGCGACTGGGAACAATAATTGAAAAACGTGCGAAATAAAAGGTACAAAAAAAAACACTTTTCATACTTTTCAACCGTGGAATTTCAAGTTGAAACTATTGGAGCCGGTATACAATAATTGAAAGTATTTAAAATGACAAAGGTCTGACGGGCTTTCAAGATTGAAGCATGAGATTGTAATGGTCGGACGCAATAATTGGAAATCTAAAACAACAAAAACAAAGTTGATGGCTTTTCAAGGCGTGGTGTGCTCGGGATGAAGCTTTAACTCGCTTCCGAAGATTCAAACGACTTTAACATCTAGAAATGCATTTTACACCGCCATAGTCTCAACCGTCTGACATTTATCAAATGAGACAAAACAAACGCGCTATTTATGTGAAGGAAGGCATAGAAAAGGTAAGAGTCTCTCCAGTTAACGAGTACGTACGAGAAGCGGACGACTTTATAAAGCGCCGCATCCATCATGCTCGGTACGCGCGAACGACAGTTTCAATCTCGCTAAAGTGGCGGTTCGGTGGTCATCCATTAACGCTCAAGATCTCGTTCCACGCGCGGGTCAAATACTTTGCACCTCAAACTATCCCGAAGCGATTTCCATCGCCGTCGTTATCGATTGATTAGATATCGAATCGGATTACTCACTGGCGATCAGAGCGGCGTTATGCGCGACAGCCATCAAACATATTTTTCACGGATAAAATCATAAAACGCATAAAATGGCTCTCCTGCGGGCGAGCATTCGAGACAAAAGATAAATCCGATTGCGCCGGAAACACAAACAAAGATACGATCGTTCGAAATACGACCGCGTTTTCCTCAAATAAGTTTTACGACGCGTATCGAGTGCGGGCATGATCAAGGTCGCAACTAGCTTTAATAGATCATAAGAAAACCGTGGTATCCGCATTCTTTTGTTATGAGACACAAAGATAAAAGCGGAATGTCATTTCGCCCGAGAGATAAGTAAGTTTCGCGGAACGTTGAAATTATTCGCGGACATTCATGGCGTGCCAGGCGCTTCTCGAGATGTCGTTTCGTCGATTCTTCAAATGTCTACGACTTCGAAATGGAATAACCGAACTCGCAAACTTCCAAAGGGAGACTATTGTAAAACGAACGTACAAGTTTTCCATCATACTTTTCAAGACATAACGATCTATCGGCGCAACTATCGACGTTTAAGACAGGTAGCGAGCAAAGTGTCGCCAAATATGCACACATCAAGATCGTTCCAATTCCATATAATAATGTGCCGTGTAAGCGAGACGGATCAACTTCTGATAACGTATCGTTGAAATGTGGGTCGCGGTAAAAGCTCGCCAACCATCGATTACACACACACAAATACAGGCTATTACATCGTGCAGATTCTGTTACTGATTTTTCGACCGTTTCAAGATTACCGTCGTCACGTCGGTCGTCAATCTGAATAATAAGTCGGTCTAACCCATATACGTCCACTTTTTTATCGACCATACAATTTTTACACATCCATTCTGCCCGTTTAATGAGAATTTGAGTCCTACTTTTAGTAATCCTCAAAAGTTTAACGTTTCTTCGTGTGTTTATGAAAACTATTATTTAATACAGCTTTTCAAAATATCGGGCATCTTTAATAAACCGTAATAAATCATTCACCGAGCTTACAAGTTATATTTTTTAATACAAAAAAATATATTTTTAACCACAGTTGTATTGCAACATATATTTACGATTTAATTATGCAAGTAGCTAGCTACTTTATATTCATGATTAAATCCAATTGCATCATACAGGCTTTACGATCGGTGCAACATGTTGCGAAAGCACAGAATGTAGGATATAAATGAGTTAACGCTCCCGCAGCGTGCACAATTTCGGGAATTAAAATTTCAGCTGCGAAGCGTCCAATCCATCATAAATCTCATTATATCCTTCAGCCTATGTACGTTAGCGGACGTATCTCTTTACTGATTTATATCCGTAGCGTTTGAGTTACAATGTTTTTTCCAAGCTGACGAAGTAATCTCACTAAGTCACGCCTGAGGGCTTCCATTGAGCGTCTCGTGCGAGGTGCGTTAATTCGATCGCGGAATATTTTCGCGCCGCACGATGACGACGAGGAGGTGCCGTGCTCCACTTAACAAAGTATCCGCGTGAAGGCGTCCGTCTGACAACACGTGATAAAATTCGTGCCGGTGTCGCTTATATTCGCCGCCCGCTGGCAGATACCGGAGTTAAGACCGATTCTGAATTAATGCGACGATAAATCATGCCAAGTTTAAGAGAGAACGCGTTTAGAGAAGCTGCACGCGCTCAATGCCCGCCTAAATTTATCGGCGTACCGTATTTACCGAACGCCCGCGCATCCCTCTGTCTCTCGCTTCATATCACGCCGGCAACGACTACGAGACGACGACGACGGAAGCTTTATCTCTCTTGCCCGCAAACCGCCGCATGGAATTCGCATATATCATCGGTAATAATGTCCCCGCCAGTCGAGCTCGCCTGGCCTTCCTCCGCTGCGACACCCTCGCTCGATGAGGCGCCAACTCCTCGAGTTGTTATTCTCGAGGAGAACACGCGGGGAGAGTCATATTATTACAGACACGCGCCGTCGAACAAACCTATTTGAGCATCGACCTCGCCGATGGCGACATCCTCTCGAATATCTACCGCGCGGGTGGATTTTTACGATTTTCTCTCCCTTTTCCCTCCCCGCAAAATCCAGGCCGCGAACGATCGGTTTCTTTCCTGTTAGCTCGTTGCTACTTTTACAAAATCTATGTCACCCACCGTTTTTTCCATTGAGAAATTCGCCCTTCTTTTTGACGCCATTCCAAGTCGTATTTCACTGTCTTATTGTTATATGTAGCTACGTTTTCCTCGGTTCGTTGCGATCGACAAATTACACACGTCGTAAAGATAGGTCAGGTCCTGTACAATGAAAAATATATAGGACACAATTTTATCGCAAAGACGATTATATTCTATTGAAGAGCTTTAAAATATTATTTATAAATATATAACTTTCCCAGAAAATTTTTTAAAATCAGATTAAAACATTTAACTGCAAATATTAAAACATTTAAAAAAATAGTGAAACATAGAAAATTTTTATAAGATCTAAGCATTGAGAATAAAAGCATCATATAAAATAAATTGTTAACATGCTCAATCTTGAAAAAATTGAAACGTTCTAATTTATTACGATTAATTAGTATTATTATTGTTTAATAAAATTAAGAAAAATATAAAAGAATTTATTTGAAATTGAGTTACAGAATTATATTTTTTAATACGCCGTATTTATTTACGCAACTATCATTTCTCCAGAATTATTTATACGTAAGTTAGAGTCATATCATGTTACTCTTTCGTTATCCATTTTATTCTGTACAAAAAGCTTAAAAAAGCTGTAAAAAATCTTTTGCGTGAGCAACGCTTGACGTAAAATACAGATATTAAGAGCTTGATCAAGACCTAAATCTACAAATGCGCAGAAAGTATTCTACTAAATTATGCGCGCGCCATAAACTTTAATAAGAACATATGAGCACGCGACACGAGTGCTTACATTGTAACACAAAAAAGCTGGGGAACGCAGCTTACGCGATTCGTCGGATATCTGCAAGCATGCGCCTGCCATCCGCGAAAGCGAGAGGGAGAGAGAAAGAGAGAGAGAATACAGAGAGAGGGTTGATCGCGAATAAGCAGCACGTGCGTAGCAGTCATCCTGGCGCATTCGCCAGGACCGCTTGCACCACGGAAGTTATCTCTCCATCATCGGATGTTACAGATCATTATCTCGTGCAATTTACAATCACACATCGACACTCTCATACTCACGCCACTCGCGGAAACTTTTAATCAACGGCTATATTACTTCATTATATTTTTCGTCGCAAACATCAAATTTTTTTAAAAATTGAACTCTCGTCTTAATCAAATAAAAATAGTTAAAACGAATATCCGCGAAAGATCTTAAAAGAATTTATCTGATATCGCGTAGAATTACTTTGGTTTATTTTAAGCGCATTTTAGTGGACGTATATAGTGAACGTCGTAAACGTCGGTGACATCTATAAAACATGCACGATTACCACGAAGAATATACGTGTGTGCGCGCTCTGCGCGTATACTGCATTGAGAATGCGATTCACTCGCAAATTATGTTTAAGTACTCACGGCGGATCTTTTTATCGATTATAATTCCTGTTGTTCTCGCACGGATACAAACCGCTTTAACAAGGCGGATCGCCGTATCCTCATCATACTTGAGAATAAAAATTATTTGTTCGTTAGAGGATTACATTGGAAAGAATTACACTGGATGCAATGCGCTCGTCTGAGTGATCTAAATATAGCCGCAAAAATTTCTGGCATAGCCAGAATGATGATAAACAGACGGAACAAAATGATGCATAGCAGTTCTTGGCCCGATCGAGCACCGCAAACAGTGAAGGTGCGCATCGATCCTTTATCTCGTGCCTTCACTATTATTCCAACGAGTCGCGAAACGGTATATCTATTGGAACAAACTGCGCCGCGATCCGATTGTCTGGAAGAAGTCATCCTCCTAGATCGATGCGCCCCTAAAGGAATCGCATCTGTGATGATAAAACAAAGGTTAATCGACGGGAGACCGTCTATAAATAAAAAATCCACGAGTACCGCTGAAAATTCATCAGACGTAAATAACGAGACGAAAAGCAGAACAAATTCCAACCATCCATTTATGCCGCGCAGTCTTTCGTCAATCGAGACCACTGCAATTCACCAAAACGCTGTCATTGTGTTAGAAGAAGATGTTTTCCGAGATCAATCGAAATGTAAATCAGATTTTTTCGCGAAAATTGATGAAACAAAGAAGACATTAACACAAGACATTACAAAAACATCTTTACTGAAAACAACGTCGGATATGACGGATACGGATGTTGCAAAGTTATCTCCGAAAAATTCACATGCCCAAGAAGAACCCATAAATGCAGCCGCACGACTAACAAATAAATCTCCCTCATTCGCGGAGACTAACGCCTTTGATGTAATAGTAAACGTTGCAGATGAGAGATTGCACGCAGCCAGCATCGCGCAAATAGATAATTCACAAACGCGAGAAACGGATGGGGTGAGGAAGGAATGTCAGATTGCCATTTCGCCCGCATCCTCACCGAGGCACGCTACGTCATCACCGCCGCACATCAAGGTGGACGACTACGACAATTATGCGACATCCGTTTCATTCTCGTCGAAAGGGAATCATCACGCCTGTCTGAAGTGCACGTCCGAACGTCTCCTTCGCTCGCAAATCGATCCCTTCCATTCCCCATCGCGATGCAAAAAGAACAACGATCTGACGGCGGTGAAAGCGCACGGTTTTCGACGCTATGATTCGATCAAACGCGAAAAAAGGGAAGCGCGCGACAACCGTCAAAACAAAGATATCTGGTACGCGGGATGCTTATTCGGAGAGACGAAAAATGTGAACGGTAAAAAATTGGATCGGCAAAGCAAAGACGATGGTTTATTGCCGGCACGACCGCCTATAGACTTTAAAAAGGAGGCTACTCTCGGACGACATTATTATCCCGAGGGAGGTTGGGGATACGTCATTGTCACGTGTTCGGTGCTGGTGCATTTTATCGGGGTGGGTCTGCAACTTGCCGCGCCCGGATGCTGGCATATCACCGCCGAGCGAAAGTTTCGACATCCTCCGCTGCATAGCGCAGGTAAGAGGTCAAATATTCTTAACGCATCGAATATTGATTAATTTCATAAAAGCCCAAGAACTTGCAACAATACGATAAATAAATACAGTTTCTAGAAGACATACTTCATTTTAAGTAGCTCTCTATCGAATTTTATTTCTATCCCTTTGCGTCAAGATAATCAGCAAGCATCATGACAGACATATGCATACATATATTCTATGTGCTAATTACGAACTATAAATGCAAATGTAATGCGCTTATTTTGGTTTACAATAATTTTTGTAAAAAATCAGGATTCATCAAATTTTAAAATGAATTGCACTATATCAATTCTAGGAAGATATATATTATAATATACATATGTATATATCTTTTATTATATATAATTTCCAACAAAATTAATAAAAAAATATTCTTTTTAAATATAAGCTTTTATAGAATATCATATATAAAAAAGTTCTTTTTCTCTAATTTTTCTTAAAATCATCTAAAATCTAAATAAACAAATCAGCTCTTAAAAAAGGCGTGTAAATCGATATTTGCAAGTATTATCGTCTTCTTTTCGCGATGCTGATTGATTATCTCGACACTGCGCTGTGCTTCGCATCAATAAAAGCCTGTCATGACTGAATGAAGCATTTGACAGTTCAAATATTAAGTATCTGAGTATAATTTTAATTTAATTGATTTTGAAAAAATCGAGTTACTAAAGTCAATATGTAAGTAACTTTATAAATATGTGTGTGTGTTAAAGAATTAATTAACGTTGTTAATGATTAAAATTCTTTAAAAAATAAAATATTACGGCTAAACTATAGGAAAATTATAATAGAACAGACTTCTATTTCTCAGAAATCGATTTTTTATATACTCGTATCACATAGCAAGATATTTCTAAGTTCCGAATATGAAAATATTTTGGCGCTTCCCGACAAGAAATAATTCTCCACAATGAAGATTGTTTCGAATCCTCGCCGGTACGAAACATTACTAACGTTCATCTGACGAGAGGGACAGCGATAAGGCCTCTTAGCTAAGACAGTGATCGCGTCCAAGAACGTGGAAAGAACGCGTTGTTTTCGCGACGTAGTTCATTAATTTATTTGACGAATATTTAATCCCGATACGAAATTCTAATATGAAAATATTTTGGCGCTTCTTTTTCTCTATTCTTTTGCTTCCATTTTATTCAAAAATATTAATATATAATATATACAATATATATATAATTATGATATCTCCCTTAGTCTGACTCTTCTCCTTCGACCTTTCCGACATGGGTGACCCCACCAGTAGCGTTTTTGAATGAAGCAGGTTTAAGCGCTTTGAGAGCGATTAAACTCAATTTGCCATAAATAATTTGGCAAAAATTAACCAAAAATAGGTTTTGAGACAATTTAATTAATATAAATATGTAATACATTAATAATATAAATAATATAAAATACATGTCCCGTTTTTTACGCTATTTTGGCTTTAAAGTACAAGATTCTTTATCTTTATTAATCAAACGTTTATTCGAAATATTTTATTGATTAATCTAATAATTCAAGTATCCCTTGATGAGACGAATAACCTACGACGGAGTATATGACGTTATTAATCGGTCTCAAAACTTCAAACTTGCTTCATTTGAAAACGCTACATGTTACTGCCGGCATAGTTCTCAGGTTCATTAGAGTACTCAAACCTCCTCACCCGGCAAATGCCTCCGTTAAGGTGGAGACATCATCGAAGAGGAAAAATTATTGTTTTCATTTTCTTTCAATACAAGTTTTACAAATTTATCAAATAAAAAATATAATACACAAAGAATTATATATATAGTATATAATATATAATTACAAAT